TTAATGATCAGCTGATTGGCTTTTCTGTCGCGAGTCCGTCTCTCTTGTTTGTTTATCGCCCACTTTGCACCAGAAAGAGGAAACCAGCGGATAAACAACAGCAGCACGTTTAAGCTTGATAAGGTGTTGTTAGAATTTATTTAATATTACTTTCTACACCAGGATCTATTTCCACGTAGCTGACGACTGGTAACTGTGCAGGGGCGGATCTAGCAAAGTTTAGCCAGGGGGCCGATAGGGCATGAACAGGGAAAAGGACTGCACAAAGACATACTTTTCTTTCTTATTCTCATTTAAAATGTCTAGCTTGTATTAAATAATTATCTGAATCTTACACCCAAAGTTTTAATTTGATGTAAAATGAATAGAAGTCCATTACTGTATATAGTAACTATTAAGTCTAATATACACCCTATAAGCTATACTACTTTTTCCTTTGGGAAGGCACCATCTGTGCAGTCTGCAATTCTGTTGAAGAAAGATGTTGAATCTATTTAATAATTCTTGAAAAATAATTGATTTCTGTGCATTTTTTTTCACACTGCATCAAATTAAGGTTGATTATGTCGATTAAGCATCATGAGGTGGAGCATGAGAAGTGGTTCCCTATTTTTTTTGTTGCTGGGAGTTGGAACCCTATTAGTTAGGATGCTTAATATTTACGCTAAGTACTCTTTAAAATACCAGAATTGGGAGGATGGAGTAGGTTTAAGTTTATTAGACTGATCAGTATTGCTGAATTATAAAATATTTTGGGTGCAGTGTATTTTTTGCATACAGGTATAACAGAATAGCTTTAGTGTTGTTGTTTTAAAACTTGAGTATGAACTTATACAAAATGCAGCAAGATATTAAAAAAACAGTTTTATTGATTAAAAACACACTATATCGGATTCATATCGGTATCGGCAGATATCCAAATTTATGATATCAGTATCGGACATAAAAAAGTGGTATTGTGCCATCTCTAGTAAATTTTCCAGCAGTTTGTTCTTAATTGCCACAGTCAGGCTGAAATATTGATTTTAAGGATGCTTTCAATCAAACTGACATAAACTCTTTCTAAAACTTTGTGGCCAACTCCAAAGTCTCTTAACATCCTATAAAGAAACTGTGATTCTTTGATTATTTTCTTGCAAACTGAGTCAACATTAATCACAGAGTTAAACTTGTCATCAATATATGTTCCCAAATACTTCAAGCTATTAATGACTTCTGCAGACTGACCAGAAAGTTAAAGACCTGTTACGGTGCCTGTGTAATAAGACCAGCTCTTTTGTTTTGTTGTTATTAATAAACAAATGACGTGATTTACACCATTCTTCCAACATATGTACCTGAAAGAAATAGTTAAAGAGATCAACAATTAGCAATATCATCAGGATATTAAAGTTTATGGCAATTAGAAAAAGACTGAACAAGTATGGCTTGTGTGGAAGGGTTGCTGGGGGAAAGCATTTTCCCTCCAGAAAAACATGAGATCAGAGGCTTAGGTTTGCAAAATTGCATCTCAACCAACCACAAGATAAAACCAAAGTGCAGATGTTTAGCCATAACGCACCAGGCAATGCTTGGCAAAAAAACACAAACATAGGATATCAGAAGCCTCATAGCAATTATCAAGCACGGTGGTGGATGGGTGAGGATGTGGGCTTGTTTTGCAAGGACTATGCATCCAA